TTTGGTCCTTTTAAAATAAGCGATTTAAGGTCCTCACTATTAAGGAGGCTGGGGGGTCAACGAATTAACCATCAGATATAACTTATATTTTTTAGATATGATATCTTAAGCTGTCAGCTATCATTTGGCAAAGAAAAAATTCATACATTTTAGTTTTAAAATTTGATCATTTTTGTATATCTTTATATGGAGCTCTTCTTCTAAAGGAGACCAATATAGTCTAAAAATGGCCACGACCACCCAGCCCTCTTAACTATATTTATGGCACCAGTGATAACGTTTCCAGCAGGATTGATGTTGTAGGGTGACAATGAACATGAACACGATGGAGGGTTATGTTTCATGTGCTCTATATCCAGGCTCCATAAAGTTTTCTTGAAATTGAAATGTTTCGAAGAAATGGTCTATGTATATTTTTGTAGGACACACAGAGTGTAGTCTTCAGTTTGAAATATGGTGGAATACAAGACTGAACCTTTTTGTGATTCAGAATATTACTTATATTATCCTCGTCAATTCCTTTATTGGCATATTGAAATTTAAGGAGAAAAAATGGGTTGTTTTAGCTGAAGAGAATTCTTCTTTCAATAGTAAGTTTTTCCACTTTTAAACATAAACAATACTTCATTATCGTACCTTTTGGCATGGTTTATATCTGAGGTGTTGTCCTTTTTCAGTGCTACAGTGTGACCGAACCAAGACGAGTATGGTAAATGAGCAAAGTACTTAGACACATACTCATCTCCAAGATGTCAATTTAAAACATTCTACACTTAATTAGTAAATACCTACATGTATTTTAGAATCTTAGAGTTATTACATGGTAGCATTTACTGATATCCCCCCTCCACTTAAATCATTGACTTTGAAAACTTAAGATAAAGATTTTAAAGTGCGTGTACCCTTGACATGAGATATCAAGTACAACTAAGGGTTATTTTGTCGTACTGAAGTTAAATAATGTTCACTTGATATTTATATCAAGAAGAATGTGACCTTAATTTGTGCGAAAAAAGTTAGTCCGATCCTCAGATTCTGAAAATCAGCTTGTAGATAATTGAAAATCCTCACAAAAATGTGTATGATTCAACTTAGTAACTTGAAGTTACCAATGGTATTTCTTCAAAGTTCATCATTATAGTAAATCATATTATATAAGGAAAATTATCAAATCTCAAATGTATTTTCAGGAAATGCGAATAAGAACACCAACTTTGTATTTTCTAATTGAAAATTGATCAACAAATATAATTTATGATAAAAAATATAGGTATCCAGGCATTTGGAGAAAATTGCATCTTTTTACGCTTATACAGTACTTTAGTTCCTCCCCTTACATATACTTCATTCGATACATGATACATAGTGTAAAAATCTTGTGCTATCATTGCTAGACATCATATATCACGTCTGATTTCATATCAAATTATTAAATGTTGGTACCTAATACTAGATTAAAGGAAATTTGATTTCTCTTAAAATGGATTTATTTATTTTGTTTTTGTTCTTATGGGGTACAAATGTCAACTTTTTACAAGACCGTTTCTAAGACTTCAAAGAACTTTGAATCATATGAAGATGTATAAACTGAAAATTGTTGCAGGAAAAGATCTCAATTTCAAACTTCATTTTGAGACTTTTTAAATAAAGTAATAAATTTAAGACTTATCCTTACTGGTTGGGGATCAGATATCCTTAAATAGTACATGGAGCTGCATATGGAAAATCGTTTTCTCAAGAATATTCAGTGTATGATTTATGAAAATAATAAGTACCCATCACCAGATGACGAAAATTAAGTTAATTCAAATTATACAGTATCCTTGTTAAATGCAAATACGACAGTAAAACAATAGTAATTATCAGAATGTATCATTAATAACTAGAATTATCAGTAACCATGGGAACAATCACTATTTATCAGCAACAACAGCACAATATCGATATCAGAAATTATTTTCCTCAATAAATTTCAGAGTTGAGCTGTCATCACCTTTGTTTTTGGTCAGTATTGACGGTAGTATTGAGGACATTTTGCAGATTCGATGTATAATGTAGTGTTTTTGTTTCAATATTGGTGATATTTCGGTTGCCAGCGTTGTAGAAAAGGGAAATGACGCGCGTTATCTCGTCATGAAAAATGTTCCACAATGATGACAACCGTCACTTCCCCCAATCCTACAATAACACTAAAGACATACTTCATTTTCGAGAAATAAGGACACCAATGCAGAAAATTAAATGAACAAAAGTTTAACAATAACATTTTTTCATGAACAAGTTTTATTTTAACTTTTAACCAGTGTAGATTTAAGACTTACTAAGTTGTGCTGGCAGTTGTATGCATGCACAAAATTGAAGAATAAGTACCAATTTAGGTAATGCAGGATAATTTATGTTGTCATATACGTAGTCTCTATTTAGCGCACTAAAAAATTTAAAGAAGTATATAATAAATACGTCATATGAGTATTTAATAAATCATATTGGCCTGCAAACATCCCTGCGACGTTTGGATTCATTTTTGTTCGATTTATAGGTAAAAATCTTTTTAAAATTTTCTCAAACACACCACATAAACATTAGTCCTATTGATATTCAATATTAGTTTGAGGTAATTTATTCATGATACACATAGAAGTAGATTCAATGAACATGGATAGAACAGCAGGCAAAAGTGACCTACATGTATATTTGTTCTTCCCATTAGAGATCAAGGTACAAATGTAACAATGATATATATTTGGAGTTAAACAATGAAATGTATTTTAAACTAATCTTTAAGGAGATCAAAGAGTACAAATTGAAAAAAAAAGAGCGGAAATGAACAATAAAATAAAAAAAATGAAAGGATTAATTGATTATTATTGTTTTACGCCGAGTCGGAGTCTCGTGTAAGTTCAAGTGTAAGCTTGTATTTAAATCTCTTTTCACTCAGTGTTGTCCGTCCTAATTCATTCATTATATAAATTTTGTTTCGAAGTATTGCGCCTTAGTTTGTTTGTTTGTAAGTTGTTTAACGTCCTCTCGAGAATTTTCCACTCATATGGAGACGCCACCACTTGCCGGTGGACAGCTGCAAATTTTGTCCTATACTCGGCACTTACATGTACTGCCATTGAGCAGTGAGGGGTCTTTTTTCGTGCCAGCGCCAACTGCGACACGTGACCTCGGTTTATACGGTCTCATCCGAAGGACCGGTCTCCACGTCCCACAGTTGGATTCGAACCCGCGACGTAAGGCTCAACTCCTTACTTCGCGACTCTAGAGCAGACGCTCTAACCACTGCGCCACGCGGGCGTCATTGCGCCTTAGTAATGATAAGCCAAGCCTCTTTTTGTACACTTTCTAATAGATTGCTCTGCTTCTGTGTGCAATTATCCCACACTACATAACCATATTCCAAAATAAGTCTAATAAAAGCGATATAAATACTAATAGGGGAATCCCCATTAAATTTCTATTTGAATGTGCGAAGAACATTTAAATTGTGGCATGCTTTGTAATATATTTTGGATTTATGTTCAGAACAACCGCCATTGGATTGCAATGTAAGTCCAAGGAGACAATGACTTCGCTTTTGTTTTATGTAGATTTTTTTGTATAATCAAATGAGATTTGTGAATGTGATTTATTTGACAGTGTATAATTAACATTTACAGTTTTATTAGGATTAAAAGCAAATGTCCATTGTCTGGACCATTGTTTAATATTTTCCAAGTCATTTGTAAAAGAGAGATTATGGAATAGTGTATCAGAGTCTACAATAACGAACAAAGAAGTGTCATTTGCAAATAACCTGATTTGATTTTCTAACTTTACAATTATGTTATTGGTATATACCAAGGAGAGAAATGGACCTGATACAGAGCCTTGTGGAACACCTGCATTTATACTTTCTCTGAGGAATATCCTTTTAATAAAACCTTTTGTTCACGATCAGTAAGATATTTTTCAATCCAGTCCAATATATCTCCTGCAAAACCATTTTGCTTAAGCTTACATAATAATCCCGTATACACGACCTTGTTGAATGCCTTTGATATATCACAGAAAACAAATGTTACATCTTTACCTTGGTTTAAACTGCTGATAATAGTATTGTAAATTTCTAGTAGTTGATTTAGAGTTTAATCACCAGTTTGGAGTCCAGAATGATATTTGGATAGAAGATTATGTTTTAGCATATAGTTGTAAAGATATTTGAATATAATTTTTCCATAATCTAGCAAAGAATATCTATTAAAGCAATTTTTCTGTAGTTTCCTGGCTCTTCAGGACTGCCTTTATTTTTATAAGCTGGTGTAATATTTGAGAGTTTCCATATACAAGGAAACTATTTATTGGTTAATGATGCATAAAACAATATTGCTAGGGGTTCAGTAATCGAAGGATTTATATTTTTAGTTTATGTGGAGAAAAATCATCAGGTCCTGGAGGTTCATCTGTAAATCTTATTCGGTACCAATTTTTATGCACCAGATGCGCATTTTGACAGATTATGTCTTTTTAGTGATGCTCATGCCGAAACGTTGGAAATTCGAAAAATTTACATAAAAAAAAAATCAAGGGCGATGGGGTAGATATTTTTAATTGATCTTCCGCATCGTGGGTGTGATGTGAATTGCGTTTATTGAATGTGAAGGACCTGTTCCTTGTGGGTTAAGATGGGGTTCTGCACTAATATCAATATGTGATATTTCTGCAAAGTGGAATAGATCTATCTAATATTATTCAATATTCAATATCTCCATAAAGTGAGCATTCAAGTTTGTTCAAGTCGTCAAGTAAAGGCAAGAGTATGAGGTGCAAATTTTAATGATACATGTAATATAGTAGAAAACTATTTTTTTTTTTAAATCTGATGAATTTCAGCAGAGTCAAGAGACAATGGAAAGCGATGTTGCCAATGTTTTTTTTAGGAAATAAAATTAAAAATTTCATATACAATAGCTTAAATTGATGATTTTAATTTGGTTCATTTGCCTTTTCCGGTTTAGATGATACAAAGGAGAGCTGACGGTTCCGTGAACTTCTACAGGGGGTGGACAGAATATAAAAACGGGTTTGGTGACTTGAGTTCCGAATTCTGGATCGGTGAGTTCAAATAATTTCCCTCTTCTGAAATAACATCATGGGATTTGGCATCTTAATTGGTTTAATTATATTCAAACGATAACATAACAATAAAATATGGAATGTTCAACTGCATTTTAACTAAAAAAAAGTAAAATATTTTATGTATTATTTACGATGTATTACAAATTCCTATTTTCTTAATCCCAATGCATAAAAAGAACAGTTAAGCCTCATGTTAATTTAAAAATTCATCAGTAATCATGCAAAAGATATTTCGAAAACAAAGAAAACTGACAGAAAACTTTGAAAAAATACTTTTGTTAAATAATAATATTTAATAAACTTTGGTAAAGTTTGTTTATGCAGAATCTAGAAGAAAAAGAACTGCATAAGTTAATGTTTAAATCAACAGTTCCTAGAAGAAGTTGCTTAAACTTAACGAGAAAACCATTTTAATGACTATTGCAAAATATTTTAAGGACTTGACATCATCCATCTACTAGTAATGAATGGCTTTACAGTTCTGCGTGTAGAATTAGAAGAGGGAAGGGAGTCTGCCTATGCGGAGTACAGCAGTTTCTTTGTAGCTGGAGAGGAAGACAATTATCGAATCCATGTTTCTGGGTATAGAGGAACAGCAGGTAGATCCACACTTTAAGAAGAAATCTAAGATATCTTAACCCCAAAATAACAGAAAAACAAAAATAGAAACCATTTTCTAATTTATATCATTATTTCCAGGGTATTATCTTTTCATATTTATGCAATAAACTAATCAGTATTTATAAGACAAAATGGCTAACAATGATAAAACAGCGATAAGTGGCACTAACTGAATTGCATGTACAATTTGAAGTTGGTCAATGGAAAAAAACAATGTAACATAAAAGTGTCAGGTCTGGTCTGTTGAGGGTAGAACTCAGTTACAGCTTAAATGTTTCGTATCTTCTTTCATTTTCGTAAATGACCCTTATGTTCTTCAGACAATATTTTGTTGGGATATAGAATACATTTTTCATCATTTTTTAGGAACGTTATTTTTGTAGCAATTCCTTAAAGTATTATGAATATGAATTTAAAGTTTGAATGTGATTGTGTAAGTAAACAGTGATCAAACTTTTAAGCATGAAAAATAGAAAAAAATAATTTATCATTTTACTCTTACTAGTGTATATATATATATATATATATATATATATATATATATATATATATATATATATATATATATATATATATATATATATATATATATATATATATATATATATATATATATATATATATATATAGTAAAATTTGTCTAATCCGAACTCTGAGTACTAAGGATTTTTGTCCATTCCGGCGATAAATTTTAGTCCCATGCACTTTTTTAACAAATGGATTAGAAAAAAATTCTGTGTAGTCCAGATACTGTCTATTCTGTATTCCGAACGGCCATACTGGTCCCAACTGCTCATGATTAACGGTAATTATTTCCTATAATCCGGCCATGAATAATAACCTGAGTTACTTCAAAGCAATTTACACCTTCGTGGAAGATGTGCTAATGTGTGTTTACATTAGTGCCATGAGACGAACTGAAACGCAGCCCAATTGAAGAAATATAAGATTAGATTACAAGTAAATAAAAAAAAAAACTTACACGTTTAACTTGTCTTTAACTCCATATCATAAACATATAACATAAAATCAATACAATATAGGTACACGATTTACAAATCAAAATATGAATCGGGATCGAAACTCAAAGGTCTCATTTCACAATGGCGCCATAACATTAGAGGGAAGACGTTACATAAAAATTAAAAATTCAATCCAATAATTATCAAATCATAATTAATTGTGTTTATGGTTATGTTGAATGCACTCTTTGACATGCAAAACTCGGGCCGCTTGATATATAGTATAAAGTACATGTCTGTAGATTTTGACTCCGGTAACATTTCAGGTTGAGTCTCAAACTTCGTGAACGAAAAAGAAAAAATACAGTAAGTCATGCAATATTCATTTACAATTTGTGGACTCCAAAATATTGATTGATTTTATCATTAAATTATTTTTTCCGCACTCCGGATTCTGTCTAATCCGGCCAAATTTTATGGAACCGGTGGTATCCGGTTTGGACAAATTATACTGTATATGTGTATATATATATATATATATATATATATATATATATATATATATATATATATATATATATATATATATATATATATATATATATATATATATATATATATATATCTGTGTGTGTGTGTGTGAGGGTGTGTGTGTGTGTGTGAGGGGGTGTGTGTGTGTGTGAAACCTGTCCAATCCGATATGAACTAGGAGACAATTTTTTTGTCGGAAAAGACAGGGTGTCGGATTGCACAGTGTAAAAATACATGGAAAATAGTAAAATGGGAACGAATTTTAACGTCAGAATTCACAGTGTGTCGAATTGCACAGGTGTAGGATTAGACAGTTTTCACTGTATAAAGTTAAACTCGGTTATAGCCATGTTTTAGGGACCTCCGAATTTACTTCGCTATATCCATAATTCGTTATATCCGTATAACGAATTCCTTATGGAATATATAGCAAATTCGTAATATAGATTTTTTCCCTTAAAGTTTGACTACAAAAGGTATTTAATGAAGTATAAAATATAAAAATTTCCATGGAGTTCTAAAGTTTTTTTTTTTTTTTTTTTTTTTTTTTTTTTTTTTTTTTTTTTTTTTTTTTTTTTTGTTTTATTGATTTTCTACGAAAGCCGGATAGGCTCATTTTTGACAAGATAAAAAAAAATAATTAACTCGTTATAACGAGATAGTATCTCGTTATAACGAGTTAGTTATCTCGTTATAACGAGTTAGTTATCTCATTATAACGAGTTAGTTATCTCGTTACAACGAGTTAGTTATCTCGTTATTAACGAGTTAGCTATCTCGTTATAACGAGTTAGTTATCTTGTTTTAACGAGTTAGTATCTCGTTATAACGAGATAATTATCGCGTTATAACGAGTTAGTTATCTCGTTATAACGAGTTAGTATCTCGTTATAACGAGTTAGTTATCTCGTTATAACGAATTAGTTATCTCGTTATAACGAGATAATTATCTCGTTATAACGAGTTAGTTATGTCGTTATAACGAGACAGTTTTCTCGTTAGTTCGAGACTAAATAGCAATATAGGAATAAAAAATGGCTGCAGTTTTAAATGCCATTGAATTTTTAGCAAGTAATTATCAGTCATTTAACTTGAACAAATTGATAAATGGTTGAAAATTTAATTTGCTCAGGGGTTTACTTATGATTAAATCTTGAACTATCTCGCTGTCAATAACCATAGCAACTCTAAGGCGAACACATTTACACATTTTCGTGAACTCCTCCTCAAATTGTTGCATTAGGACGCGATATTTTTCTTAAAATAATATTGCCAAACATACTTGCTTCAAACTTTGGCAATTTATTTATGACAACTATTTCTGATGAATGACACTATTTCGATATGTTTTGGACGACTTATACACTTTCATATATCTATTTCTATACCGCTAAAATTAAATATCAGAGACAATATAAGTGCAACATATCGTTTATGCAACATATAATATATACGATTACAGTGTGATACATATGTTACTTTTGAGATTCAGAAACGTTTTGAAGAAGGGGGATGGTGAGACATCAGCAGTTAGATCATAGGCGTAGTAAAAGAGGGGCTAATGTCCACACCACCACTTTTGAAAAGGGGGCGGTCAAGAGTATCTTTGTGCCCCTTCCTCCATATTTTTTTTTTTACCAGAGTAAATATCTTCCGAATATAATGGCAAATATTCGTAGTTGGAATATCAAATCTATTTTTTTTTTCTTTTTACTTGTCAAATATTTTACTTGGTTTAACCCCCCCCCCCCTTGATCTTTGTGACTTAGCTTATGCAGATTGTCCACGATAATGAGGAATGGTGAAGCAAAAATGATATTACATCCTTTTAAGTAATAAGATTTTATCTAATATTCTGTCATGATTCACTGTTTATATTTTTTGCGGGGGGAAGGGGGGGGGGGGGTCCAAGTTGTGGAGATTCACGGAGACCTATTTGAGATTCACGTTTATTTGGCGGATCCTATATGTTTACCACATAGTGTCAGAACGTCAAACCAGAGTTTAAGAAACAAAAAAAAGTTTACAGAGTTTACAAAGCCAGTTCACTTTTATAATCTTTTTACTTAGGATTAATCAACGAATAGGCCTTATACTACATATGTACATGTATTAAAACAACATTCAAGCAATGTCGTTAATTATTTTTCTCATCACAATATATTATTATGTATAATCTACAAGCATATAATTTTTATTTCAAAAAGAGATTGATGATTTTTTTTGTTTTTTTTGTTTTTTTTTTTTTTTGGGGGGGGGGGGGAGGGGGGGGATAAATAGAGGATATTCAATGTTTTGTAGTTGATATGGAATTTATTTCACGAGTGGGACAGAATTTTTTTTTATATATATTTTCATGAGTGCGAGGCACGAGTGAAAATATCAAAAATCCTGTCTAAACATACAATACACATTTCTTGGCAAAATTTATGCTTGAAATACACCTTAAGTAATGCTTATCATATTGTAAACTTTAGATATTAAACTTTCATTCTATACCCAAAAAGGATCACATGTCAACTGTTTTTACTAATGCTGACCTTCACCTTTTATTGTGGTTTCCGTAGAATAAAGAGCTCCAAAAGTTTTTTTTAATTCTACCACATTGATAATAACGCAAAAATTACATATTGTACATAAGATTCCATGCCAAATTGGTAAATTAAATGTTTCTTTATTTTAATAAACAGAAGAAATATATAAATTATTAAGCGATAAGTACAGTATTAGTTCTTGATATTCATCATATTTATTATTGAGGGGAAGGAGGGATTGATGATAAAAACGTGAATTTAGTTTTTTGTCAGACATTGAATTTTGATCTTGCCCCTTTAAGACGATAAAATTGAACTGGTATTCCTTGTTAACAGGCAAGGAATTATCAAAATATTATCTTTAAAGCCTAACAAATGGTTTCATATCCACATGATTTATTCGGAATATTTAAAATAATGGGATTATTTCTATGCATTTTTATTGCGACAAATATTTCGCAAACATTATTATAATTTTAACAAAATCAAGAAAGCTTGAACGGGGCAGTTAAATCAGCCAGAGTATATCATTTTTTTCTGATCTCCTTGTACAAGTAAACAAAATTTTGATGTTATATACATTCCATTTGAAGATGACACTAATTCTATTTTGCAATTTTAAGTTATAACACAGCAACATGAGACGGTCACAAGGTTCCGTATATTTGTCTTCGGTCTTTCCAATAAACAATACTAATCAAAGGCATAACACAAAAAACTAGTATGCTGTTCCATAAAATCTTTATCATGCACACTTCAAACAAATTTGATTGACTTGCTTCTGTATATTTCCTATAAATAATGGTCTATGCTTTACTTAGATATATCAATTCTAGATCAATTTTTATCTCGTTATAACGAGATAATTATCTCGTTATAACGAGATAATTAACTCGTTATAACGAGATAACTAACTCGTTATAACGAGATAACTAACTCGTTATAACGAGGTAACTAACTCGTTATAACGAGATAACTAACTCGTTATAACGAGATAATTATCTCGTTATTACGAGATAACTAACTCGTTATAACGAAATGCTAACTCGTTATAACGAGATACTAACTCGTTATTACGAGATAATTATCTCGTTATAACGAGTTAAATATTTTTTCGTCTTGTCAAAAATGAGCCTATCCGGCTTTCGTAATTTTCAAATATAAAGACTAACAAAATTATGTCTGTTCTATATTTTAAATTTTAAAACCTGTGAAAATTCGCCATGAAAGATGTAAATTGTGTTATTTTTAACATCTAGGAGACACAAAATCATTTCGCTATAGCCGTAAATTCGCTATATCCGAGTTCGTTATATCCGTTAAATTTTACACGGAATCGTCAAAAATTTCGCTGGGGGATTGCAAATAAACTTCAGTATATCCGTAAATTCGCTATATCCATGTTCGTACTAAACGATTTTTACTATCTATCTATCGATCTATTTATCTATCTGTCTATCTATCTATCTATCTATCGATAGATAGATAGATAGATAGATAGATAGATAGATAGATAGATAGATCTGAAAAATCTAACCTGGAAGTCATATTTACATTCAGTGTTTTTTTTAGAATTTGAATTTGCACATGTAAGAAATCATAGTATTATGATTAATTCAATCACATTTACAGTACTGTAGCCATTAGAGGTTTACGTCAAACTCAGTATTAGGGTCATAGTTGCATTGAACATTCCTATTGGCCGTTAGAAGTTTGGATGAAATTGATATTTCATATCTGAAATGTATGATATTTACACGTTTGTAGGTGATGGGATTTCATGTGACACTACGTATTGCAACAATGATGCACAGTTTTCAACACATGATAAGGATAATGACAATTCAAATTCACTTAATAATGCAAAGAGATGGAAAGGAGCTTGGTGGTATAATCATGGGCACAGGTCTAACTTAAATGGAGAGTATGGTAATAACGATCATGGCGAGGGCATCAACTGGTATCCTTTCAAGGGCCAAACAAACTCTCTAACAGGCACTAGGATGATGCTTCGTCGACCTTAATATATGCCTGGAATCAAAATGCAGACATACACAGTCCAGATAAGGCATTGCGGCATAGAAATATAAAACCAATATTTTCATACAATAATTATACTGAAGTTAACTTTGTATTTTTTGCAGATCGGTATTTCTCTTTAGGAAAATATCATTTACGAATGCCGTTGGTACATGTATATTATTGTAAGTCATTAAAAAAAAAACTCCAGAGATGTTTCTTATTTTTATGTCAGCAGCTAAAGCGCAGCTACTGGTGTCAGTTGTAAAACGTAGAAATTCTGAATTTGTATTTTTCACAGTACCAAAACTTTATAAAAATGTTTTAGAGAGAGGGAGAGAGAGAGAGAGAGAATGAAAGAGGTAAAAAGAACATTTCTGAAGAATGTAAAACACTTTTCAAATAATATAACCTTTATTTTTAAAGAATATCATTAATCTAAACAAAAATATGTGTTACCACTCTTGAAACTGAAAGAGTTTGTGTCACAGATTGAAACAAATACTAAGTCTTGAACTTGTTACACCAATTAAAGGGGTAAATATTATACGTTTTGCATTAAAGTGACAACATGTATGTATCAATATATAAAAATAGAATTTTTCTGTTTTCTCTAATATATAATTTGATTTTTTTTATCTAAAAATATACCAATGAATCCTTCCTTTACATAAATATGAGATTTTAAAGACTTTTTCCTGCATGTTAAATGATTTGATAAATTGAAATTTCAACACATTAGGTTTTACACCATTCAGTCAACTAAATGGACATTGAAAGGTCTGTAAAGGTCACTGAATGGCAGAGTCCTGCCATTCAGTCACCTTTCAGTTAACTGAATGGCAGAGTTTCCTGTGCGTGTCTAATTATTGGCCAAAATTGTGCACATTGGATGAGCATATGCGTTTATTCAATATTTCTTGCAGTGATAAATGTGAAAGGCATACAAATATCTTAAATTGAAAGAAAAATCTTTCAATTTTACGAACACAATGAAAAAAAAATGTCAATTTTAATTTTTAAACAATATTTTTTTTTTTTTTTTTTTTTTTGTATCAGAGGAATGAAATGCATCCAGGTTGCCTACAGTTTCTCAGAAGACAATATACATTTATTGCATGATCGTGAGTGAAATATGAAGACCAATTCAGCCTAGAAGAATCATATTCCCCTCGGGGAATATGATATTTCTTGGCTGAATAAATTTTCATGTTTCCTGAACATTCAGGCAATAAATTATTTATTATACCGAAACAAGCAAAAACTTTAAAAATAAAAATAAACTTTCAAATTCGGCATCTCTCTCAAATTCTCTTTCAATTTTAACGTTAAGTTATTGAAAACACTTCAGCACTTCTGTGAAATTCCCTGCACAGGTATTAAGCAATCAAAATCTACCTTCTTGGCGAAGAATTTAATTTACAGGTTCTTCTCTCACTTCCTTATTATGTAATTTATTTATTTACTTGACCAATGGACTAAACTTTAATTAATAACATAACCCCTTAGGACTTAACACTAAATTGGATAGTTGAAACCTACTTTGATTCCAGAATTACACATATAAAAGCAAACCCACAAATACAATTTTACATTTCTACACGTATAATAAAATAAATCTAAGAATCATTAGTAACTCAAACCAAAAGAAAAAGGGCATCTTTTTACATCCTTAATTGTTGACCATTAGTGATCCGAACAATTTTAAACAATATGTGTTCTAGAACATAATCAACAAATGAATAATGCATGTTCATTATGACAAAAAGAAACCTTTCTTCCATGTATACAATCTTCTTATTAAACTTTTAATTAATTCCAATTAATCCGTTTGTTGACAATTAAAACAACGTATATATCTACAGAAAATAAAAGAAATATAGACAACAAATAGATAATAAAAAGGAAAATTTCTTTAAATTTAAAATTTCTATTACCAGTAGTCATTACGTTACACCTGCCCTTTCTGACATATTTTATTTTATTTCTCAAATAAAATCTGCAACATGACGACATTCTTCGTCATGTTGCAAAATTAATTTTCAAAAGAAATAAAATATGTCAGAAAGGACAGAAGTGAATAGTTAAAATGTTCAATGCTGGGAGTGAAAAGAGGTGTGTTGTGTAAATTTAAATAATAATTAATTAATTACCATTTGCAAGACAGAAGTCCTTCCGAATCTTTGTTTGAGAAGATTTTGTCGAATATTGCTTTACATGCAATGTATCTACAGTGTATATCCTTAAGATTGTTGAATATGAGTAAATAGATGTAATTACATTTCGCATTTTCTGTGTTTGTCATGTATATATTTAAAAAAAAGAAGAAGAAGAAAAAAGAAATATATTTTATACTGCCCGGTATCTTCAAGATTTTTGTTGTTCCCAAGGACATTTTTTTTCACATTGGGAAGATATATCAGATTTATACTTATTTAAAAAAAACAAAACAACAAAAAAAACAAAAAAACAAAACCAAAAAAAAAAAAAAAACAAACAAACAAAAAAAACCCCAAAAACAATCAAACAAAAAAATAAATAAATAAATAAATAAAAAAAATTTTAAAAAAATTGACATCCTGGCCCGTCGAGAGCCGTATTTAAAATGAAATGACTTTCGAGTTAATCCTACATATATTTCCTATATATTTCCAAAATAATTCTTGTTTGGAAGTCGCACGCTTCTGAGGTCTAAATTTCCGGTCGTCCCAACATGAGCGAAGTGTACAACAAACAACTCAAACACAATTCTATTCCGTTGAGGGAACTAGTTATAATTTTATAAACTAACAAGACAACAAATTTACAAAAATGATTCTATACACACATATATTAGTAATGTTACAATAAAAAAAATCATAGTCACATTCACCCTGAAAACATTTGATTTTGACGTTGGTGCAAAAGTAACATGACGTCATGATTTCACTGTTGAAATATCATTGATTTGAATTAAGAAAAAAAAAAATACTTAGAGTTGGAGTAGGATCATAGACATTCAGATTTGACAACTCCGAACCTTATTCTACTAAAGTCTATGGAAAACTCAAAATGTGTAAAAAAAAAAAAAAAAAAAAAAAAAAAAAAAAAAAAATGAAAAAATTGCCATAAGAGCACCATTTTCTCATGGGCGTATATATATATATATATATATATATATATATATATATATATATATATATATATATATATATATATATATATATATATATATATATATATATATATATATATATATATATATTGAAATTATATATAAATCCACAGTGCTCGGAAAATTATAGGTACAAATTTAAAAAAATGAAACACGATAACGTTTAGTAAAGCTTTAGCGCTTTCATTTTCAATCTTCAGAAGATTTACAATAGGTAACATAGCAACATAACGTCATAACGTCATAATAAGCGGAACACAAATTCTATAGTGACGTCATAGTTAAACAATGCGGGAAATTTGTAGAATGAAAACAATATGTACAATTGTGATTACGATTACGATAAATTGTTAAGTTTAGGTTTGAAAACATGTATAAAATGTTTTTCTTTTTCGCGTCTCTGGATGTCACTTTCATTTGAAAGTTTGTAAAAAGGAAATATAGTAAACTGTTTATTTCCACAGCGATCCAAATGCTCACTTAGAGGGATTTGTCGATATTCCGGTGAGTTAATATGTTGTCTGTGGACACGCACACGGGCGCGGAGCGGGTTGCTTGTTTCCCCGATGTAATACTGGTGGCATCCAGGACATGTAATTACATATATTACATTTTTAGTGTCACAAGACATATTTGCGTTGACTGTAAATTGTCTTCCGTTAAAGTTATAAGTTGATCCTTCTATGATATGTTGGCATGTCCCGCAACGTGCGTCCTCACACTTGGCGACTGCGCAGGTATTTTTAAAATGGGAAGAACACAGGATTCTTCTAAGATTCCTAGGTTGTCGTCTGCTGTTGATAAATTTTACATCTTTATATATTCGTTTTGTTGATAGGTCATCTTTAAGAATGTTGTTCAGTTGGTGAATTATAGAGGTCAAGTTATGATTCCGTGGGTTGTGAGTATGCACAAATGGAATAATTTCCGTTTTATTTTCCTTGCTCTTTGTAGACAGTAATTCAGATCGTGTATATCCTTTGGCTTTCAATATACCGTTATCTATGAGGGTTTCAGGATATCCCTGTTTTATAAGGTACGACTTGAGCTCTTTTAGTCGGATATCTCTAGTGTTATCATCGCTAACGATAGCACATAATTGTCTAGCAAGATTGTAAGTGATTGCTGTTTTTGTATGGTGAGGGTGTCAGGAAGCAAAATGTAGGTACTGGTGGGTGTCAGTTGATTTGTAATAGATATCCGTAGAAAGTTTTGTATCTTCTTTGATGACTAGGATGTCAAGAAAAGGTAATTTGGTATCACTGCTTTCCATTGTAAATCTGATATTAGAATCCAAGCCGTTTAACAACTGGTGGAAAACGAATAATCTGTCAACATTGTCATTCCATAGAATAAAACAATCATCCAGAAATCTTTTCCATTTTGATATTATAGATTCAGCATCTTCCTCTCCCCATAGAGTGGCTAGTTGGTGATGTAGTTTCTGTTCGAGATATCCAAGGTTAAAGTGGCATATGTGGGAGCCACTTTTGTCCCCATCGCTGTTCCTTTTGTTTGTATAAAATGATCTTTTCCAAAGGCGAAGGTATTGTTTAGAAGTATTATTCTTAATCCTTCCAATATAAATTCTTTCTCAAAACGATCTTGTAGTAAATCTGGATATCTGTCAATCCAATATTTAACAGCTTTTATACCCAAATCCACTGATGCTGAATCTATAAAATCAAAATGGAAAAGATTTCTGGATGATTGTTTTATTCTATGGAATGACAATGTTGACAGATTATCCGGTTTTCCACCAGTTGTTAAACGGCTTGGATTCTAATATCAGATTTACAATGGAAAGCAGCGATACCAAATTACCTTTTCTTGACATCCTAGTCATCAAAGAAGATACAAAACTTTCTA